ATGTTGTTTGGATAAAACGTGTATGAAATTTTAATTAATATGTGTATCACTAATTGAAGTTAGTGTGGGAAAGAAACACTAACTGCAATTTGTTTTAAATTTATTTATAGTAGGACACCAGTTGAAAATCAAATTAATATTCATGTAAACTTACATTAAATTAAATACTCAGGATATCATAATTACCTTTTATAATTATCACTAATATTTACACTATCTTATGTATTAAGTTGGAATAAATTTTATTTTTAATAGTATGCAATCTGTATGATTAATGAATGAACCGTGTATAAAGAATGAACGGTATATTAAACACTAAGTTTACACTGCACTTCAAACCAATTATGTTCCATATCAAAACAAAACATTAATCTAAACGACAAAATAAAATAAAAATTATATATAGTCTAAGCAAATAAAGAGTCATTAGTTTTGCACATGATAATTTGAACATGTTCATGTTGTGGCCAACTTGACAACATCTACTGCAAGTAACTTTGGACCTTATGAATTTTCACATCAGCAACCCTCTTTCATATATAATTCATTTCATTTGAAAATCAACACAATTCTCTGTTTCATTAAAAAAAAATAACAATTAGTCTAACATTATACAAATCAATTAGAAATATGTTAAATAATATTAACTTTTCATTTCAAAGGCAATACAAATTTCATCCATAAAAATCATTATAATAACAACAAAATTATACACACTCATAATTATTTTTTCATACAAATATCATTCAGACAGTACATTACAAATTAAATTTCATACAAAACATAATATTTCACATTTAGTACTCACTTAATATACATTTCATACAACAATCATCATTCATACCAAATTTATACATTTTCATACTCATTTAATACACATTTCATACAAAACGATTATTCATTCAAACTATATACATTTCTCGTCCCAAATAATTAATTAATGTCACCCAACTTTATACAGAAATAACAAAACTAATATAAACTCAACAATTTCACATTTAATATCAATTTAAAACACTTGTAATACACTTCGTCAAGAATTACAATTTTTTTTACATATTTCTTAACACACTTTTCATACATAATTCATTCAACTTATACTATCAAATTAATTATCAAATAAAATAAATTTTCACAAATTCGTCAACATTATAATTAAATTATTTTTACAGAATAATTAGCACACTTTCATACAAATTTCATTTAATGTATTCTATCAAATTTATTCATAAAATCACATTAAATTTATAATTTCACAAAACAACAACCGTATACAAAATAAACAAAAAAACACTAAATTTTTTACATTTCACAACAGTGAACATAATATGATATCAACAGTTAACAAAATATGACTCCACCTTCAATTAATCGACAGTTTGATCATTTTTGTTTCATTTCACTATCATTCTAAAACAAACGTTAAACAATAATAAATACTAACCCGAAGGATCCCATCTTTCACCATGTTTGATTAAAATTGATATGTAATTGTCCATCACAACAAATCAAGAATTTTCAAAGATGAAAAAAAACTTCAATTACTTGAATGTGGGATTTTTTTTTTGTTGAAAATTGAAGAGAGAAACGTTGAAATTTTTTTGTTGCAAATTGAAGAGAGACAAACGTTGAAAAAGGAAGAAGATAAAATCTGAATTTTTATTTGATTTTAACTGATTTAAGTGAATTAAGGATACTAAATAATCTTAATTAGCTTAAATCCCTTAATTCGTGCTATATATTAATTATCTACAATAAATTCAAATTAAATTAACACATCAATTTCAGTTAATTACTTGTTTTCATTAAAAAATGTTTTTTTTTTCATTTTTCTTTTATCTCTTTATTTTATTTAAACAACTTTTTTCAATTATTGAAAACAGATTTTTTTTTTAAAATTATTTGGTAGAACCTGAAATTTTTAATGTTATAACTTGAAAGTCTAAATCTATTGCTATAGCTTGAAAATATTACTATAATATATGACATATATAAAATTTATACAATTTTTAATTTTAGTTTCACTTATACTTGAAACAATATTGAACATTATAAAAAAAATGATCTACTTTTTATCAAAATATTTTACAACTTTAAATTAAACAACTCAATTTTTCATATTAATAAATAAAAGTTTTACATTGGCATCAAATGTCATGTATTACAAACAAATGTTTGACATCTCATAATGAAGACTAATACTTCCTTTTATAAATAATAATATTGTATTTTTTAAATTTAAAATATAAAATAAAAAGTATGGAAGAACGAAAAAGGGGCAATCCTAAATTAATAATATTTTTGTTTGTATGTGTATATATTTAAAGTGTTTTATTATAATTTAGCTTTAGACCACTAATTTTATTGAGATGCATGTTCACATAGTTTGTATGCAGAAATAACAGTTCGTATACACTTAGTTTCAAAACAAAAGCCTCCATAAAATATTATTGACTTTGTTGTCTTAGATAGCAAAATATAATCTTTGTCTCAATCAATTACTGCAGGATAAAATCATAGAAAGATACAGATGTACCTAGGTGGATAGTCTTCAAAAAGACACTAACATTCTCATTGTAAATCGGGAGAAAAGATGATAAAAAGCCTAGTCAATTGAAATTGAGACGAAAGTGTTCAAAAACTAGACTAAATTCACGTTGCACACTATGATAGAAGGCTTACTCAATTAAAGTTGCACCACATGATAAACTTTAGTTAGAGGAATGCTTAAATTTTTTGTTGTTTGTATTTAAATTTTCTCATTTTTACTACCTAGATACTTTATATGATAAAAAGCTTACTCAACTGAAGTTGCACCACACGATAAACTTAAATTAGAGGAATGCTTAAATTTTTTGTTGTTTGAATTTAAATTTTCTCATTTTAACTACCTAGGTACTTTTAAAAGTCATATTTAGCCCACTGGGCCAAAAAGTATAGGATGCTGGACCTTTAAAAAACCCATACAACACAAATAATCAAACAAATTATTATTTTCTTTCGTTTTAACTTATGTAGCATTGTTTTACTCACATAATTTGTAAAGAAAAAAAAAAGGATTTTTTGAAATTTATGATCTAAAACACTTCTTGACAATTTATGTAATTATAAATTATTGCAAGTTTATTTTTAATACTTATTACTCAAAAAAAAAAACTTAATTGTTAATTGGTATTGCAAACTTGAAAAGTCTGCCCATGATTTTTAAAGAATGTTTGATATATTTGATATACTAAGCTCTTATTATGCACAAAAATTTAAGAAATACTAGATTATATGAATCACATTGTACATTGATCTAGTTTTTATTTTGATAGAACTTATTTTATAACTTAAATATCTTATCATACAACGATAACATTCATCTATAGACGAAACATCATAATTTCTCAATTTTATATATTTAAACACATTAGACAAGTAAAAATACTCTAATGGTAAGTCATCATTACCTTCATTTTACAATAATTATTATAGAACTCTCATTCTATCTTATTTTCAAGAACATTTAAGAAATAGCTAAAAATAAATAAATTCAAATTGAAACCAAATGGGGACAAAAGACACTGCATATGCTTCTTTATACTCTTTCTAAAACATTGGAATCTCCGAAAGTTGTCTAATGGATAATTATCTTTTTCCAAAAAAAGAAAAAGAAAAAGAAAAAACTTAATTATATATATTTTTTAAATACTTTTCTTGAATTTCTAACAGTCAGGGGTAATTTAGTCAAATTAAAGATTTTTAGTTGTACTCAACCTTCGTAAATCTAGGAAATTTGAATGGGTTGGTAACTGCTAGCCTGGATTTTCAAAACAATATTTATCCAAAAAAAAAAAAAAACTGATTTTACTAAATCCCCGTTAAATAATATTTGAAGTGATATAAGCAAATAGTTGTAAAAAAGTGTTTTGTTTCTGTAACATTCTCCAGAGTAAGAGAAGAACATATATATGTCTACTAATTCACTCTGACTCTTCAATTTTCATCTTTAACAAAAAGTAAGTTTTTTTTTTTTTTTTTTTGTTATTAAGGGTAAGTTGAATCTTTTCTTCTTCTTTTTTTTTTATTCAGTTTTTGCCATTTTTGTTTATCAATATTGTGTTTTTATTTTGCCTCTATGATTATGTTTTTCTCAATTTGTGGAAACAAAAGATTTGTTATGGTTTTTGTTGTTGGGCTAGATTCAGTATTTGAGTAGGGTAGTATTGAGGAGTGGGAAGAAACTGTTTATATACGTTTTTTTTTTTTTTTTGGTTAAAATATGGTTATTAATTTGTATGTATATAAGTGATGTTTATGCTTTTTAATGTATATATATTTGAACCACTTTTCGCTTTTTTGGTGTTTAGTTCATATTTTGAATTATTATAGGAAATCTCGACTCCGCCATGTTTGATTTTTTTGGTGTGTTTAGTCCATATTTTGAATTATTATTGGAAATAGAATCCGTTTGATATTTGACAATTTTGTTAACCAAATCATTAAGAAAAAAAATTATGTTTCTCTTTCTGTTGTTTTCATTTTCTGGTTGATATTACTGTTGGAAATAATGTTGTAAACAATTGTAGCTAAGTATATATCCATCAATAAACAGGAAGACACCAGATTTAAACTTGATTAGTTCAACCCGAAGGTTCTTAGCTTGTTGTAGTTTTAAAATTATGGGTTACGAAGTTAATATATGACAAATTTTAGTAGCTTTTGCTTATAAAAAAAAGAAGGTAAAGGTAGTATGGTGCACAAAGCATCCCGTTCACGCGGGTTTGCAAAGTCTTGTACCCTAGGGGTGTGAAAATGCAAGCATCCATGGCTCGAACCCATGAGCAATAGGCAATACATTCCATTCGCTAAATTGCCTCTGCGTATATACTAGTGTAGTGTTCTCTGTTAGTCAATATATTATGTAAATTTAAAATTAAACTCTCATTTGGTTTATAACTGCACTTTTTTCTTCTTTTGTGTTTAATTTGTTACGTATAATACAGTAGCTTGCTGCAATGGACCCTTCTGAGGCAAAGAAACGTGTGTATGAAAAAGTCATGAAATTTGAACCTGAAAAGGTTGCGAGGGAGATTATAGGCTATATTTTCTTGCAAGACTATCCAGAGCAGGAAATGATTCGATTAGCGTTAGGCCCTGATACGTTAATTCGCAATGTGATCCAGGAAGCAAAAGATTCATTTGACGTAAACTCAACTCCAGTGTTCCGCAGCCCTTCTATGACTGCAGTCAATATAGTAGATCCAGCACTACGGTTTGCAAATTTTTCATCCACTTACCCTGTATCCGCTCCTCGCTGCAAACCTCAACTCTCTGATGAACATTCTTATTTAGCTGAAATTCTCTACTCCAGGAATGAGCAGCCGCAACAGTTCCACCCTCTTGAAGAAACAATGTACTTTGAGAATTTGAATTACCCAAGTGATTACTGCTATCCAGAAGCTCCCCTTATCAGGCGCTACAGAAATTCTCCAAGTTCGTTTAAATTTCCGAAGCCTTGCCACTATTTCAACAAAGGGTTCTGTAGAAATGGTGACAGCTGTAGGTACTTTCATGGTCCATTTCCCGAGAGCTACCCACTTACGATTGATCCTAATCTTTGTGAAAATGGTGATGAAGATGAAGTACTTTCACCTGGTTCCCTCGAGAAATTTGAGCTAGAGCTAACGGAGCTCTTGAAAGATAAGAGAGGGAATCCTGTTTCAATTGCATCCCTGCCCATGATGTATTCTGCCAAGTACGGGAAAGTACTCCAAGCGGAAGGGTATCTAACCGAGAGCCAAAGAAATGGTAAAGCTGGCTATAATTTGACAAAGCTTCTAGCTCGATTGAAGTTTGTTCGTCTGATTGAAAGGTATTTTACCTGTACTCTTGTATTGTTTCTTATCTAGTCAAACGACCGTATGCAATTTCTAATATGTTTGAATGCTATTTGTTACAGGCCTCATGGACAACATTCTGTAGTTCTGGCTGAAGATGCAGCGAAGTACATGGACACTCATGGTGTAAGAAGTGATCCAGGTCCTATCGTTAGTGATTCACGTCAAATATATTTGACGTTCCCTGCTGAGAGCACTTTTACGGAGGAAGATGTCTCTGCTTACTTCGAGTATGCAACGCAACATGTGACGTTTTTTCTGTGCTTTGCCTTTTATTAAGCATTCAATACTTCTCTCATTATCTTTTTGTTTTTTGTTTGCAGCACTTTTGGGCCAGTTCAAGATGTACGAATGCCATGTCAGCAGAAACGAATGTTTGGATTTGTTACATTCTTCAGCACAGATACTGTAAAAATGGTTTTGTCTACAGGAAATCCACATTATGTGTGTGGTGCTCGCGTTCTTGTCAAACCTTATAGGGAGAAGTCTAAGCTATCTGAAAGGTACTTTATCATACTGCAAATTTCTTAATGGCACGCACATCTTGATTGCTCGATTAAATTGACCTTTAACAACTCTCTGCATGTTTTGGTGAGGGAAGCCTGGTGTTGCGTTGAGAATTCAGCTTCTTCTCTTCTTCTGTTTCTTTGAACTCTCGTATAGATATGAAGTGAACTACTAACTTGTTTGGTATTATGGGGTTTATAGCTTCTATTTTTGGATCGGATATACTTTAACTAGTTCACAATAAAGTAACTGTCTAATCTTGTTTCCTCTCCTGCAGAAAGCACCAGGAGAGACTGGAGTCGTCAATATTTTACCACTTCGATTCTAGGCTTCAAGAAAGTAAGACATTAGCACCTGAAATTCTGCTCACCTATGGCCTCATCAATTATTTTTAAATGAATGTACGTATAATATGCACTGAACGTCTTTCGAAAACGACCTCTCTACCTGACAAGGTAGGGTTAAGGTCTGCGAGCACTCTACATACTCTACATTCCCCAGAACATACAAGATTTAGTTACTTTACCGCGTGGATGAACATACATATCTCTAAAGCCTGTTTATAAATTCACCTTTTGTCAGCTCTCTGCATTTGCCTTCTTTGATCTAATACATTCATGGTCTGCCAACAGAATTTAAGTCCCCTAGAATGCTACGGAAACATTTAATGGAAGAGCAATTCCTTGAACATGAGGCTAGGCGACTTGCACAGCTGCAGTTATCGCGAAAACGCATGGCCACTCTGCCCTATTTTGGCCCTCCCATGGACGAATTTAACATTTCTCAACGTTTGTATATACTCTTTTTTTTTTTTTGTTATTTACTTTAGCTACACACTTCCAGTTATTTATTTTAAGTACTCTGATTTTCTCTACTGCATATGTCTGCAGAACATTCCAGCCATCTATTAGATGTTCGGAACAGTGGATCCCCGGATGAAGATAATTCCAAGAATTCAGATGAAAGCCATTATGCTGACGACGATAGGTATACACTTGAGTTTATATAAATTGGCTCTGATAGTGATCGGGTTGCATAATCTCTCAGTATTTTCTGTATTGAAATCTGATAACAAGTCCTCTCTTTTTACTTTGTTGTTGTTTGCTTGTCAACTGAATTTAAAAAGTTCCAAAAAACAAAAAAATGCATCTTGATGTTGCTTTACCTAGTCTTTCCATTTGTTTTCATATCGTTCCAAAAGAGCGTAGAGTATTTACCTTGCATTATGTCTCTACACTCTCCTCATTGTCCCGCAGACTAGTCCAAAACATATGTCAAATAGTTTGAAGGTAGCTCTATTATGGGGTTTGTGAGGCATTTTCATATCTTGGACTCATTTTAGTTCTTTTCGTTGTTGTATTGATGCAGCAATCAACGAATCAACCTGCCAGACAGTCCATTCGCATCAAGAGTAGCGAGCAGTATAGCTGAATTTTTATAGGTCTGGATACTTGTTATTTTGGTATGCAAGTCTACTTCAAAGGCAGCATCTTGAATTCGAGAGAATACGTAGTACATATAGCAATAGAGAATAGCGGAAAATAGATCCTCCACACAACCGGGCTAACGTAACTACACCAATTAGGAAAATATGATACACAAAGGCTTACATATAAGAATGTTCAAAGGTTTTTTTTTCTATCTGGTGTTTTTAAGATTAGAATAGAGGACAGAGGTCATTGTCCTTAGCAAAAAATGAAATATATAGTATAACTTTAGTTGATAAGAGGATAATAGGGTAAAAAATATAAGCCTTTTATGTTCCTTTTCCTGTTTTGCAGAAGAAAATATGTAGACATGAAGTTTGTTTCATTTGATATGTTTTGTCTCTGGTTTTTGTGTTCGACAACTTATTCGCGTGTTTACATCAAATCAATAGACGGCACTCATTTTCTTTCAGACCGGTAAACCTATCATGTCATGTGTCTTCTAAATTACTTAAACATAGTTGCTTTGAGTTGAGTTGGTGTAAACATTTGGTACAGGTAAGTATTATTTTAGGCTTGCATGCATGTGTGTTATTAGTGGTGGAGCTAGGATTTGTACGTAGGATTATTACATTATATCTTGAATGAAATCGTTACGCTCCTAGCTAACATCAAGTATATATCATGGTTAAGTGATAGTATATGTAAAAAATGTGATATATATTTATTGATTTTTATATAAATATTAGATGGAGATAAATGTTTTTTAGGGTTAGGTAGGTGTGTTAATAAATTAGTAGGGGTTAAAACTAAGGTTGCCGTGTTTGACTGGTTTGTGGAGATCGAGGGAGACAATCCACATAACAAGAAACATCGATTTCACACAAATCTCTTTAGTTTCGGATATAAATTGATAATTTCATATCAATATATCATAAGTTATACCTTAAAATAACTTTTTCGTAGAATAGATTTATTTATTTATTTATTTATATTATAATAATATCTCATAAGTTATATTGTAAAATATATATAAGGTTATATCGTATTTCAGAAAGGCATAATATATTTTGTTTTGTAACACAAATCCACTCATATACTCTATCATTGCATATTAGTTATCAAAAAAAAAGTTTATCTACAAAGGATAAAGAATATCTCAAGGGGTAATTTGGTTAGGAACAAATTATCTCAGGATTAATTATTCTGGGATTAGTTATCTTGGGATAATTTATCCCATCATGTATATGGGATAACTTATCTAATCATTATGGTATAAATGGTGGGATACGTTGTCCCAAACATAACAACCAAATAAAACACCAAAATCTAATCCTAAACTATTTTTTTATCTCAAGATTATTTTTATTCCTCTCACCAAACGACCCCTAAAGGCATAACTCCAATTTCGAAAAATACTTGTGTCGCATACCTTAATTTCTATCAAACTTATATTGAGCGAGAAAAAATTTCTAAACATATCAGAATAATTGATTGAACTATTAAGTAACCTCTTATTATTTGCACAAAAGAAATGTTATACTAGGCTTCCGCGATTGCTATTTATACCTTTTTCTTTCTATTGTTCACCTTATAAATGTGCTTTGATCCACAAATTTTCAATAAATGAGTAGTATGAACAAAGATAAAAGAACACCAAATTCAAAGTATTGAAAACACTTCTAAACTTGGCGTAAATTATTAGTTTTATCCTTGAGTTATTAATATCCTTAAAAACACAATCTATTTGACTAACTAAACTTAAATACACCCCCGACGTACCACAAAACATTGCAAGTGGTCTCAAACTTTTGTAGGTGTGTGATACTCTTAATAAAAAACCGAAAAAATGTTGAAAACACTCCTATATTTGACGAGAATTTAGGAGTGTATTTCACTCATGTTGCAAGACCGGTGGTATATTTAAGTTCACTTAGTTAAATTAAGTGGTATTTTTAAGGCTGTCAATAGTTTGAGAAGAGTTTAAGGATATTTTCAATACTTCACTCACTAAAAATTAAACCAAAATAATTTGGGATTACCCTAATTTGTGATAGTCTCTAATTTATGTCCCTCAAAACAAACAATAATTTTACGAGACATGAATTTATATTTTTGTATCATAATATTTTACAAATTATATCTTAGTATAACTTCAATCTTATGCTTCATTAGGTATTAGTTTAATTATAAAAAGATAAAAATTAAATATCAACTCATTTAAAAAGCAAAACGTGCAATTTCACGGAGAAAAAGCTGCTAAACAAATTGGGCCTTCGGCCTTTCAAAATGGGCTATCAATTTACACTAGTTCGGGCCTTATTAATCAGAAAGGCCCAGCCCGTTAACAATGAGGAACAAATACAGAAACTGAACTTTGCACTTTCCGATCGTAAAATTCAACTGGAGTAATCCGCCGCCGGCAACTGACCAGAAGAAGAAGAAGGAGGAAAATGAACACTGATATCACAGCATCGGCAAAGCCCGAATATCCAGTTGTAGATCGAAACCCACCGTTTACTAAAACCGTCGGTAATTTCAACACACTCGATTACCTCCGGCTCACCACCATCACCGGAATTTCTGTCACCGTCGGATACCTCTCCGGTAACTTCTCTATCCTTTACTGTTATCAGTCATTCGATTTACTGAAGCTCAAATTGTAAATCTGTTTGGATTGGTCATTTGGATCCTCTATGAAGTTACAATTTTTTTTTAGTTGTTGGGAATCAGTTATGTAGGGGTGGAGCCGGGTAGTGCCGAGGAGTTCATCTGATTCCCCTTCGGTTGAAAATTACATTATTTATACATGGAATATTAGATGTTGAATCCCTTCAGCTTATTCGTGTGTTTAGTTCTTCCTATTTTGAACCAATTAGTGAAAATTCTGGTTACGTCATTGTCATTATGCTTTGGGAAGCAACTAGAGGGTAGGAAGCTGGTTAGGCAGAATCCAGTAGTTTTGGTGCAAATCCTGTATTTATTATGTTGACATTATTAATTTGGAATCAGTAATTCAAAAGGAGTAGAATCCTGAACCTGTAAGCTTCAAATTCAAATCCTAGCTCAGCCTGTGCTCACATTTGCAAGTTATCTCCTTTGGTATTGATGAATTTTGGATTTTGGGCAGGAATAAAGCCAGGGATTAGAGGGCCATCGATGGTTACCGGAGGTTTGATTGGGCTAATGGGTGGTTTCATGTATGCTTACCAGAATTCAGCTGGCAGGCTCATGGGTTTCTTCCCAAATGAAGGAGAGGTAGCCAAAGCCAAGTACAAGATTTAACTGCTTCCCTTTAATTTTCTGGTTCTTTTGGATTCCCTTTTGTAGTTTCCCCGAAATGTTATGAAAACAGTGGGCATTTCTCTCTTCTCATGAGAACTTTGTTGAAAGTAATATCTTTAATAATCAGTCTGTGGTTCCAACTTATTACGTTTGCTTGTTTTGTTATGAATCATGTATTATTGTGACTTGCTAATAATGATGAGTTGACAATGCATTATTTAGTATGATGATGTTATGAAATGAACTTAAATGAGAGAATAGAGATTTTTTGTTATTTTTTAATCAAGTAGATCATATGCTTCACATTCTTTATGCCACCAATCGATCGTAGAAGTATATTGGAGTTGCATTCTCTTCTTTTGTCTTGTTCTATGTGTTCTTAAATGAAGCATTAAGGATTCATATAGCTGACCCCAATTTGTTTGGAATTGAGGTGTAGTTGTTGTTGTTGTGTTTGCTTTACTGAAAGAGAGGGATAGGATGGGAACGAGGTGGAATCCTATCAAGCAGCTTCACAGGAGTCATGCTATAAATATTGGATCATGATGAGGCTGGTCTTTTGATTTTGATTCTTACTATCGTATCCTTATTTTCGTAGTTGAAGCTGAATCATTCAGTTTGTTTCATCAGTGGATATATCCTAAGTTTAACACATTTCCTCCCATAAAGCCGGCAAGCTTAGCACTAATTATATTATTTTCCAGGAAAATAACCGTTCATGTGAAAGTTTCTTTAATCCTATTTCTGTATGGGGAATTGTAAATAGAGAATAGCAATGATAACAGAAATGATATCATGAGATCACTTATATGTAGTCTTTTTGTGCAAGAATACAAAGAGATTTGTTTATCTATCGATTCATTTCAGAGAAAATGTGAAAGATGTAAAAATATTTTGACACATAGCTCAGTGATAACAGACAAGCTAAGTTTGATCAAGATAGTTTTAAAAGTTCAAACAAGCTATATATCTGAACCTAGATCCTAGAACAGCAAAAAACTATCCACCTGCATAGTACCTCATCTTCACAAGTAAAAACAGAAGCTTTTGTAGGGAATCAGTTAATTAAGAAGCAGGCACGCTTCTGGAGGAGGGGAGCGCATTGCAAGTGATGACTTGCTTGAAGTTGTTGATGTTAACTCTTTCAGTGCAGACAGGATAGAGTAGCAAGTGCTTACCCTTGTTGTCCCTTTTGTAGTTTCCGGAGATGTTATGAAAACAGTGGGCATTTCTTGCTTCTATATGACAACTTTGTTAAAAGTAATATCTATAATAATCAGTCTGTGGTTACTGACTTATTATGGTTGCTTGTTTTGCTATGAATCGTGGCTTCTCGTGACTTGCTAATAATGATGAGTTGACTATGCATTATTTAGTGTGATGATGTTATGAAATGAACTTTAATGAGAGAATTGAGATTCATATAGCCGACCCCAACTTGTTTTGGTCTCAGGTGTAGTTGTTAAATTTGAATTAACTAGATCTTATGCTTCACATTCTTTATGCCACCAATTGATCATAGAATTATATTGGAGTTGCATTCTCTTCTTTTGGCTTGTTCTGTGTGTTCTTAAATGAAGTGCGAGGATTCATATAGCCGACCACAACTTGTTTTGGATTGAGGCGTAATTGTTGTTGTTGTGTTTTCTTTTCTGAAAGAGAGGGATAGGATGGGAACAAGGTGGAATCCTATCAAGCAGCTTCACATGAGTTATGCTATTATTATCGG